TCTCTCTCTCTCTCTCTCTCTCTCTCTCTCTCTCTCTCTCTCTCTCTCTCTCTCTCTCTCTCTCTCTCTCTCTCTCTCTCTTGCGCGCGCACGCGCACGTCCTCACCATGGCACTTTCCCTCGGTGCTTTCTCTGCATGCTCCCCCCGCAGTGGCGGACACCCGACCTTGCTCCGTCTGCGCCAGTCCCACAAATTCTCCTCGGCGCAAATCGACGCGCGGTGACGCCCTGGAGCACGGAATCTCACGGGCACACCCTTTTTCCCACGGCCCCTGTGGTGTTTCGCCTCGCCGCACGCGATGGCCTCCTCTGGTTTCGCCCGTCCCGCTCTCACGCGACGGCCTGCTCCGGTTCCCGTCCCGCGATTTTCCGTGGGCCCACGGCTACGTGTGACGGCGGGACCGCTGTTACTTTAAAGGGTATAGAGAAGAAGCGCCTAAACCATACATATCATCACCACTCTCTCCTATTAGAAGCTTCGGAACGAACTGAACATCCGAGCAGCATAATTGCATTCGGCCATTATTGTACGAATGTGTGTTCTCGAGTAACTAGGTTTTTCGCCACTAATGACTGTGGTTGTAATATGGAGACATCGCTGTTACTAGAACTACTTTCATGATTGTATTCTCTGCACAAGCGCCTGGCGATCAAGGTGCGTTAAGTAGCATGCGAGCAGAATCGCATGTATTTGCGCACCTCGAACCACCGTAGATCCCAGCAGAAAAATCTTGTCCGGATGTGTACATGCGTTGGATCATAGAACGGGATCTTTGAGGGGCTATCGAGCCCGATTATTCTATGAAAACTTGGCTCCGTATATATAAATGGCGCTTTAAAATAGATGGTATTCAACCCACCAATCCCAGGCTTACAAAACTGCCGAAAGATAACTGACTCTCACCAGGGCGGATCGTCCAGTTGAAATACCGCAGCACTCGCTACCATTAAATGATGTATTAAGATAGCAAAATGAAGTGCTCCCAAGTCGCCCCACCTCTGAATCATAGGGTAATTAAGGGTTGAACAGTCATGTGCTAATAAGATATGCCCCTGCGTCAGGCAAGGAAGTCTGCAAGTACCATCCTATCGGATCACTGGAAACGTGCTTGGTTACGTTGCTTGGTTACGCTGCTGCTGCCCTATGGTCATCACCCGAGATCTGCCAACACAATCGGTTGGAGCACACACACACACACACACACACACACACACACACACACACACACACACACACACACACACACACACACACAGAAGAAGAAGAAGACCCAAACCTATGGCAGTGCCAAACAATAACAGTCTCCCCTGGACCTAGCTCTGTCCAACCTCCTGTACGGCCCGAACAATGAATCGCAGATCTTGAGTCAGAGAGCCTGACTCCCGATGTGGCAATGTCAAGCTTCCTCTCTCTCTCTCTCTCTCTCTCTCTCTCTCTCTCTCTCTCTCTCTCTCTCACACACACACACACACACACACACACACACACACACACACNCACACACACACACACACACACACACACACACACACACACACACACACACACTCAAGAGGGAGAAGAAGAGATGGAGAAGTGTCCTCTCTCTCTCTCATGGAGATGATGCTGACTGGTGAACGGCACAGCCTTGAGCTGCTGTTGCACTGCAAGCGTCTCAAAGAAGAAGACCAGCAGTGGCTGAAGGAAGACCTCCAGGATATGGCGACAGGTGAGTGGACTCCTACACCATCACCTCGTTGCTCCTGTCTTCTTCCACATCGCTACTCTACTCCTCTAACACTGAGCTCCTCCTGCCTCTACTAGTTCTGGGCTGCACCAACTCATGCAGACCTAATCAGAGAAGCACACTATGGATAGTTTGGAGAGCGAGATGCAGGCAGACGATAGGGAATTATAAAACCTCAGTGGATGAATCATGAAAAGGGGCCAACGTAACAGAGACAGCACAAGGGACCAAGGTAATGGAAGAGGGAAGCCGCAAGATTAGAAAGGGAAATGGATCCCAAGACGATATTTTTAACAGAAAAGCTTTGGAGGAGGAATGGTTGACGAGCTTCAAAATAGCCGCATCACAAGGAAAGACTCTAAACTTTGTAAATTGGAGGCGTGAACGTCAGTGGACAGACATAGGGACAGTGGAAGCTGACGACCTCTTAAATGGAGAGGAGTAAAGATGTGCGGGCTCTAGAAGAAAGGAAAAACCCAGCAGCACTGTGGCCAATGGTCAACAGACTGAACACTATGTGGTTAGCTTTGGCTGATCACTGATCACTGATCAGAAATTGCCAACGGACCCCTTTTTGTTCCTTACAGCTAAGGCACACTCGATCAAACAAACCTCTTCAGATAACTGGAACATGCTATAAGGAACTGCACCTGGCCCTCCATGTAGTCCACATCCCTGCTCATCTTAGTAAGTCGACTGTCTTCACTCGAATACAACCTACGGTTATTATCGTTGTATTCGGGGCAACTTTGAGTCTAGATAGAGCAATAATGACCGTACGTTGTATTCGGGTGAAGACAGTAGACTTGCTAAGCTGAACAGGGATGTGGACTACATGGAAGGCCAGGTGCAGTCTAACATTGGGAAACAAGACAATCTTACTTAGATGGAGAGGGATGTGCATTTACATGGAAGGCCAGGTGCAGTCTAACGTTGGGGAAACAAGCTAATCTCATTCACTGAATGTGGACGGAATTCGAGCATATATGGTGGAGACAGAAATCAGGGCAGAATGAAAAAAGTGTTCAAGAGCTTGGAGACAGAAGTGGATGAACCAAAGCAAGTTCCCCTGCAAAAGGGTTTTTTCGAGGACCGTGGGCTCTGTGGGATTGTATCCAGGATAATACTTCTGGTTCACCAGCTGAGATAGTTCTTTCGCCCCCCCTGCTCAGTCGTGGTGGGGATGCCTTCACCCTGCATCCAGTGCCAGGGGTTAGGTTGAACCCTGAGGGGGTAGGCTCAATCCTGAGGGGATAGACTTAAATAGGCAGTCGACCATAGGCATAGATAGGTGGGCCTAGCCTCCTCCTAGACCTATAACCCTTAACATCCTAGACCCTCCTGCTAGTACATAAGTGCGAATATAGACTTAGCCGTTGTCGTGGGGGGTCATTTTGAGTTGGCGAGCCGGGTTCCCTTGGGATGGTAGGTTCCTTGCCAGGTTGCCTTGGGATGGTGGGTTGATTGCTATTCCTCTGGGGAGCTCCCCATGCTAGATATGTGAGTAGGTAACATGGGTAGGCAAGGCAGCTAGTGTGAGGAAGGTGTGATATTGAGAAAGGAAAATAGAGTCACAAAAAATACAGCTGTCCCGCATATGAGGAGAATACAGACTGTATTTAATTAAAAAAAGAAAAAAGAAAAAAAAAAGATAATGAAGAAGGCACTGACTCCACTGAGTCTTCAGGAAGAACAGCTTGTATAGCAATTTTCTGCCAGAACGTTTAAATGATTCCGGGGCGATCAGGTATCAAATGTAGTTTAGAATAGGATGGATGTAGACTACCGTCTTCACCGGAATAGAACGCCCGGTCATTATAGCTGTATTTGGCACAACTTTTGGTCCAGATGCAGCGACAATGACCGGGCGTTCTATCCGGGTGAAGACGGTAGGCACTCTCAGCATTAGCATCGTAATGACAAGTTACTAACAACCCTGCCGTCTCAATCAGGCATGAGACGGTTAAGGGGGTAGCTCTAGTAGAAGGACATTAATTTTAGGCATCCTGGAGGTTGAGAGGAGCACAAAGAATGGTCATTGTTGCAGTAAGTTGCAGGGGTAGAGTGGTGATAAATCCTTCCTGGAAGAGAAGCAATGAATGCCACAGCCTCGGGGTTCTTCAGCGACAATGGAAAGAAACGTGGAGTGGGTCTTTAATACTCTTTTATGTACCCGGTGTCCAGCTGATATAATTAAATTGTCATCTTAGTATATTACCAATAAAAAAAAAAAAAAAAAAAAAAACCAGCATCATAAGCCAACAACAAGGAGGAGAGCCCTTCTTACCTCAGGATAATTCGCCCAAATGAGCGCTAAGGGCTTGCAGCAGATATCCCCAGCATTTGTCATCACAACGATCATAGCGTTGTGATCAAGCAATGCTGCGATTCTATAATTGGGATCTGAAAGAACCCCGACAAATCGCATCTTCACCTCCACCGCCTTCATGCTAACAACCAAAAGCAAAGAGAAACACAAACACACACACACACACACACACACACACACACACACACACACACACACACACACACACACACGCACACACACACACAGGCACACATGGCAGGTGTTACTTTTTTGACATATCCGATGGGCCTGATTGGCTATCCACTAAGATTACCGTCTTTACCCCAATGGAAGGCACCGTCATTAGAGCCGTATTTGGGCCAACTGTCGAAGTCTAGGACCCTAGGTACATCGATAATGACCATCGTTCTATTCGGGTGAAGACCGAAAAAAAAAGGGGGGCTAGGGTTCAGGGTAACACGTCTGTTCATTGAGTTCGCCCACTGAGTCTAAGCTTGTTATTCACTAAGAGTAGGTCTGCCACCGAACTCCAATGAATTCACACTCTATCTAAGCTCATACGAGTAGAAATTCCTTCTGAGCCCCCCTATTGCGGCGCCATTGTGTGACCCTACCCCTACCTTCCTTCTCCCCGAACATATCGGCATATCGTCATGACTCGGAAGGCATATCAACCTCGTTCCGCCCTACCGTCTTCACCCAAATACAGCGCCCGCCGCCCGGTCATTCTAGATGAATTTGAGGCACGGTCATTGTAGATGAATTTGAGGCATCTTTCAGTCTAGATTTTTGAACTTTTGTCTTTTTCAAAGTTTTTCTTCTTCACGTAAAGGTAGAACCACTATTTTCTCCCTGAGATTCTTGTTTCGGACAGGCCATTGAAATTTGAACGTAGCTTCTTTTTATCACAGTGCTTCTTTGATTGCACAAGAAACATACGACAAATCGGAACACCTAACATCGTTTCGTCAAATCCGTAGATCTAAATTTCCAAGAAATTGAAAAATGCAATCACTGCCAATCATGTGAAAGGAATTCACAATTTCACATCAGTTGTTCAGGGTGTAACAAAAAATGGAGCGGCAGAGATTGCTAACAAGACTGAATGCAGAAAATATGGTAAAAAATCTTTGCATGTGTTCTCCAGATAAAATAGACTATGCTCAGGCACAAGCATCTACTCCTTAGCTGACTCGAAATAACCGACGTTAAAGAGTTCAATCAACTGACAGGTTAAGACTCTTAAGAGTGCAAACATCACAAGCTGGCCGCACAACAAGAACATCCTGCTTCTGGCAGTTGTCGAAGTAGCAAGTTAATAACAACTAATAAGATAAAACTTGTCATAAAAGTAGAAACAAATGTTGCGCATTGGCAATTCCAAGTTCTTAGATTCCCTTTTGTTTCCCTTTGTTCTGTTTTTTCTTTCCTTCCTCCGCCCCCCCTCCCCCCTTCGTTTTCCCCTTTTCGCCTCCTTTTTCCCCCTTTTTCCCATTCCCCCCCCACCTCCAAAACGTTGACATGAAAAAGAAGGGAGGGGCTCACCCTGATGCAGACCATATCATGAGATCATACTCTGCATAGCATGCCGTCAAAAACTCATGTAGATCTGCAAATTGTCGAAAGGAGGCAGAAAAGGTAGGGTGGGGAGGGGGGGGGTAAGGGGACAAAAAAAACAAATACAAGAATTAACAAGGAACATTGGTTCCCAGCAAGACAATCCATGGCCTGAGGCTGCATACTTCTTTCTTTCGTTTCTTAAGGAGGACGGCGAGATATAGAAGAAGAAGAAGAAGCGCAGGAGGAGGAGGAGGAAGAGAGACACAGAGAAATTCACAGTGGGGCTGAGTGGGCACATTGCAGACCTGAAGGAGGAGGGGAGGAGGAGGAGGAGGAGAATTTGCGCATTATGCACTACCTGCCTTTTCCTCCCTCAACTGGTCAACCTACAAGGAGGAGGGGGAGGTTGTGGAGGAGGAGAAGGCATACTTGCACTTATAGTTTGCAACTTTGCACATCATCTGGCACCTCCCTTTTCCCCTTTTTTCCTAGTAGACCTACAAGGAGGAGGAAAGGAGTAGTAGAAGAAGGAGGAGGAGCAGGAGAAGAGGAAGAAATTGGGTTCATGTCATTGTTATTATTTTCACATTATTAAACCACCTTTTCCCCCTTGCCTACCATCTTCTCTGAATAGAAGTAGAGTCATAACAGCCGTATTTTTGGGCCAACTTTCAGTCTAGATACAGTGATAATGACCGTATGTTCTATTTCGGGGAGACCATAATTAAATCTGCAACAAGTCAAGTTACCCGGCGTTCCCATGACATTCATGTTTGCCAACCCAACGAACGAAGGGCTTTGATGCCCCAAGTACTACCGTCTCCGCCCGAATACAATAGAAGGCCCGGTCATTATCCCTGTAACTAGACTGAAGGTTGCCCCAAATACAGCTCTAATGACCGGGAGTTCTATTTGGGTGAATACGGTAACCAATATTCAAAGATCCTACCCTACCTCTCAACCAACCAACCCCCC